GGAATAATACTTATAAGGAATAAGATTAATAAATTTAGCTTCTAAGTATTAGGATAATAAATTCCTATTTCCGCGATTTCTAGATTATAGGGCTATTAATAAAGAAGACTATATATCCTCCCTATAGAAGTACGATTATAATAGTCGCTATATAAAGTATCGTTTATAGTAAAGAGCTTAATATTAATATATTTATAATACTTAATTCTAAGCGAGAGGATACCTTTAAGGTAATAAAATATATACTTAATAGCTATAAAATACTTATTAATCGGTCCGCTATTCCTTTTATAGAGCTTTAAAACGCTAAAGCTAATATTAAGGCGGGTATTATAGCTAAAATAGTTAAAAGTATCTATTATTTCCTAATATTTCTTTAATATTTAAGGATTATATAAAGTAATATCTAGATAAGGAAGTAAAGAGCTTAAGGCTTAAGGGGTCTTAACTGGATTAGCTTTATTAAAGCTAAAGTATTATAATATCTTTTAAATATATTTATATTAATATAATAAAATAAAGCCCTTCTTAGTATTATAAGTAATATATATATTAATAAACTTATTAATAATTAATATTTCTTTAAAGTTATAGATCGATTTTAATATCTAGATAGCTCCTTTAATAGCCTTAGTAGAAGGCTTAGCGATAGTAACGTTATTAACGTATACTAATAGGATAACTCTAGTATATTTATTATATAGGAGATATAAATTCTTTATAATATAAATATAGCTTAGTTTATTTAGTTTCTTAAATAGGAATTAAAACTATTAAAAAGGAGCTTTACGAAGCCCGTAGAGAATATTATTAAGGTAATAAACCTTATTAATATTATCCTTATATCTACGAGGCTATTAGATAAATATATAAGTATTAATAGGAGTAGGGGCTATAAGAAATACGCTATCGAAATCGATAATAATAAATTAAAGGTTTAAGTAAATAATAAGGGCGAAGAATAAATAGATTAAAACTAAGTAAATAATTATAGTATAGAGGTCCTATATAGCTTATTAGCTTAATTAATAATTATTATAGATTATTTACTTAATACGAAATCGCTAAAAGGAAGTCTTTATATCGAGAACCTATATTCCTAGGAGGACCTTAATATTAGTAAAGGGGTCTATTAGGGTCTAGGTCTTATATTTAAATAAATTAATAATTTATTTATTAAAAGCTAGTTTCTAGAGATATTAATTAAGACTTTTCTTTATAATATTAATAGTCTTTAGAATATCGATATCCGATATTATAGAATAAGCTTAGGCTATAGAATAGGCTAGGAGAAGCTTAATCGGAGTATCGAGAATATTAATATCTATATAAATAGCTTATTCTATAAGGAATAGAGTCCTAGCGCTTAGGGATAAATCGTTAATATAAGTTTTAATATATTAACCTATAATATAAAGAGTATTACGTATAGACTTATAGGGAAGCGGAGGCGCTATAATATAAGGAAGCGATAATACGTATTCTATTAGAGGGTCTAGAGACTCCCTATATAATAAAGCTACCTCTATAGGAAGTACTTTATTAGCCTTAATAGAGTTAATAAAAGAGGAGCTCGTCTCTAAATTAATAGTAGAATCGTAAATCTAAGTCTTTAAAGGATAAAGCTAAATCTAGGTCTCTAGGGGATAAGGCTAAATCGATAGAGGGACTAATTCGTAATTAGGAGGAGGAGTATATTCCTATTAAATATATAACTTAGGAGGCTCTAAGTTAATAATCTCCTTAGCCTCGAGGTATTTAATAATAAGTTATTTAATAGTTTTATAAAAGGGGATATTAATAAATTTAGAGATATTATAATCTATAAAGATAATATTATATTTATATTTATTAATATTTTTAAGGAGATTAAGGGTAGCTTTATATTAGCCCTCGAAGAAATATATATCTTAATAGTAGATAATACTATTACGTTTAAGAATATAAATATTAAAGATATAATTATAAGGACTATCGAATCCTATAAAGAAGCCCTTCTAAGCTCGCGCTTCTATCTTATTAATATATAGGGGGTAGAGAATGCCCTTCTTATATATATAAGTAATATAGCTATATATATATAAATATTAAATATAGGATATCTACTATTCCTTAAAAAGGCCGAGGAAGCTAATAAGATATTCTTAAGGAGCTTTATTATAAAGGTTCGACGATATAAGTAATAGGTTAATAACTTCTATTATAGTCTTAATAGTATAAGGCTATAGATTAATAAATAGTCCTATTACGATAATAATAATATAAATAGCTTCTAAAATACTATAATTAATACGTTCTATAAAGCTATTCTAAGCTAAAGTATTAAATATAGATAGATAGAATAAAGCGCCCTCCTTAGCTAATATCGTTTTAATATTAAGGTTATCGAATTCGCTACCTCTATTATAAATAATAGAAACGATAAATAGGCTAATAGAGGCCTTAAAATAATAAATAAACCTTTTAATATAGAAGTAGGTCTCCTATTTAGTCTTAGTCTTTATAAAATAGATCTAATAGAAGCTATTATAGTAATTAATAATATAGAAGGTATAATAAAAGCTATCCTTAAGATTTAAGGGCTTATAATTAATAAGATCTATAAAGACCTTATAATTAAAGGCTAAGGATAGATAAGTAATAGAGTAATTTACGACCTTAATACTCTTAGCTAAGCGATAAACCTTATAATTAAAGTTATATATTTCTTAATAATTAAAGAGGATATTAACTTTTATATAAATATCGATAATATATTATTTTCTAATATAAAGAAAGTATTTATATATAATATAAAAAGGAATTACTTTCTTAGACTTTATTATAATAATAGCTATATTATAAGTAATCTTAATAGGAAAGTTAATAAAAGTAAGAATTAATATTATTATAATACTTTATTCCTAAATAGTTCTCGTTAATTAAGTAATATTAATAATATATATTATAGACTTAATATAGAAATCGTATTTAATTCTTAAACGATTAAGAAAGCTTAATAATAGTAAATTCATAGAGCTTCTAAGGAGATATCTAGTATTATAAATAATCTAGTCGATAGCCTTAATAGGATCTATAAAGTCCTGGACTTAGAAGAATATACTCCTAATATTAAGGGGCTTAATAGCTTAATTATTAATTATATTAATCTTAGGAAGTAAAGTATTCTTAGTATATATTAAGAATTAAGTAAAGTTATTAAATATATTAATATTATTATTTAAATCGAGGATAATTATATCTTAGCTATAAATCTTAATTATTAAAGAAGTATAGTAAAATATTATTAAATAAATAATAAAGTCTTAATAAATAATATTAAAAGAAGTAATAATAACTTATTTATTAATATTATTAAAAGAGCTTAGTAAAAGGTATTATAATAATAAGCCTTAATAGCCTTAATAGCTTTATTAAAGAACTTATTAAACTATTTTAATAATATATTCTTCTTAAGAAGGAAATAAATAGAGGGGATATAATTAAATAATTCCTTATCTTCCTTAAAATAGTAAAAATAAATAAAATACTTCTTATTAATAATAGAAATAATAATAAATATAGAATTACCCTTTTTCTAGCTTCGATTATTAATACCTTATATAGTAATTATAGAATTAAAGGTAGATTCTTAATTATTAGCTTTATAAATAATATTAATTATAATATTATATTAATTATAGACCTTTATTATAATATATTTCTCGAATAATATAAAATATTAATTACGCATACTATTAAAGAGTATATAAACGAATATAAGTAAATTAATATTATAGATCTTTATAAGATAATATTAAAGGGTTTAAATACGAGCTAAATAAATATAGAGGGTTAGAAAATTATTAGCTTTAATTTTATAGAATTTATAAATAAAATCTATAATAATATCTAATAAGACCCTAGGAATTATTTAATAAATTATATCCTATAGCTTATAAAGGTCTCGATCTTTTATATCCTAACCTCCGCCTTTAAAGCGATCGAGGAGGGTAGGATTAATAATAGCGGAAAGAGTACTTATTACTATTACCCTCTTCTTATATTATACCTCTAAAGCGTTAAGGTTAATAAGAGGTAGGATTATCGAGTAAAGAAATTTAAGATAGCATTCTTATTCTAATAGATTAATAATATTAAACTACTAAGAGCGGAGGTTCGATTCGCTAATTAAGTAATCGATTTAGGTATAGAGCTAAGGACGAGCTATCGTAGCTTAATATCGTCGAGTAATTCGGTAGGAATAACGTTTATCGTAAAAGAGTAAATCTTACTTAAAATAAACGATAATAATACTATTAAATAGAGGAAATAAAGCTATTAATAATAATATAAAAATCGTAATATTAATGATATTACGTAATACGTAAAAGGGCGTATAACCTATTATAGAGGTCTAGGGAGGAAAAGGAGTTATATTTTTTAGGAAGCTATTCTCTAGGGCAGGAGGGTGCCTGGAACTAAGCTATAGGAGGGAGGTGCCAGGGCATAGGCCACCTGGCATTAGGTGACTGCTGGAAGTCCCAGGCGAATACCACCAATAGTTCTAATATATACAACTCTGCCTATTGAATTTGGTCTTGCATTCTGTGATCGAGTGTGTAAGCTTTTACGCAGGTCGATACATGACCAGTGCGTTGATTAGATTCTTTCGTTGCTCCATTCATGGGTAGGTTCCCAGGAGCCCTGTCGTGGTCCCGAAAACTCAAATAAACAGCATCATGAACTTTATAAGGCCACCATGCACTGCAGTTGATGTTCCTTTGGAGTGGAACACCCCACTACCTTACCTCAAGCAGTGCAGCGGCAAGCAAGCTTGAGTCTCAACTTAATTGCAAGGAAACTGCTGTGGCATTGAGAAATCAGAGCCAATTCCAATGATTGGGGCACTCCGGAACCCAGCACATATGTCAAAAGACCAGACACTCACGACCAAACACTGCAGATACAGCTCAATTCCAATATAACGATGATCGCATCGACTTGGTATGACATCGGACTGCGATCTCGTTCGATAGACGAAATTCTAGTTTGCTGACATACACGTTGGGTGCGACAGCTTGGAAAAATGCTCGGCAACTGGTCCTGTGCCAGGACGTACACAATGACGGGATCCGGCGGGGATGGGGCCGTCGGAGAGCTAGATCGACAGGATGACTTCCGCTGAGGAGACTTCGCGCTCCGGGGAACCGATGCCGCCAGTAATAGTCGAGGTGATCATCGGGGGCGCTAAGCAGCAAAGCAGGAAAGTTTGAACTGTCCTACAAGTTCTTTGATGGTTTTATGTTTCGGTAAGCAGTGAGGACATCTCCTTATCATCGTAACGCCACCCATTCTTCGTGCCTCGTCCATACGCTGCCCTGAGGATAATTCACCCAAGTATTACACCAAATAGAGAAATCGAAACAAAATGCTCTACGAAAAAGACGGGCGTCTGGTATACTCCTATGACGGAGAAAAGCTCTGGATCGAGCCCTGGTCTGCCAATGCTTTCCGCGTCCGAGCCACCAAGCTCTCCACGATGCCGACAGAGAACTGGGCCCTGCAACAGCCTCTTCAGACCGGATCCCAGCCAACAATCTCGGTTTCAAAGGAACAGGCCACCATCACGAACGGCAAGATAGAAGCTGTGGTCACGAACCGCGGCAAAGTCACCTTCTACAACGCCACCGGAACCGTCGTCCTCGAAGAATACGCGCGTAACCGCCGCGACGTGCTCGACCCAAACTGCAGCGCCATTGAAATCGAGGCGCGCGAGTTTAAGCCCATCAGAGGCGGCGATTTCCACCTGACGATGCGCTTCGAGAGCCTCGATCCAAGGAAGAAGATATTCGGCATGGGCCAGTATCAGCAGCCGTACCTCGACCTCAAAGGCCTCGACCTGGAGATGGCGCAGCGAAACTCACAGGCCAGTGTACCCTTTGCCCTCTCCTCGCTCGAGTACGGGTTTCTCTGGAATAATCCGGCCACAGGGCGGGCCGTGTTCGGCAAGAATGTCACCAGCTTCGAGGGCTATGCCACTAAGGCGCTGGACTACTGGGTTGTCGTCGGGGACACACCGGCAGAGATTTCAGAGTCTTATGCCCAGGTGACTGGGACGGTCCCGATGATGCCGGAATACGGACTGGGGTTCTGGCAGTGTAAACTGCGGTACGAGATGCAGGAGGAGGTCTTGGAGGTGGCGCGGGAGTATAGGCGGCGCGAACTGCCTATCGATCTGATCGTCATCGACTTTTTCCACTGGCCTATGCGAGGTGAATGGAAGTTTGAAAGTGCTCATTTCCCTGATCCAGGTACGCATTTCTGAGTCTGACCTCGGGTGGTAGGTGGCCCCCAAAGAAGACAAGCATTTTAACCGGTAATGTCCATCACAGACGCAATGGTTCGAGAGCTTCGCGAGCTGCAGATTGAGCTCATGGTCCCCATTTGGCCTACTGTGGACAAACGCTCGCAAAACTACCAGGAGATGATGGAGCGTGGCTACTTGGTTCGCACTTGAGCGCGGCATTCGCACCAATTTCGATTTTGGCGGGAAAACCGTCTATTACGATTCAACCAACCCAGATGCCCGTAAATATGTTTGGAACAAGGCAAAGCAGCATTACTATGCCGAAGGAATCAAGGTATTATGGCTAGATGAAGCCGAACCGGAGTGCTCTGTCTATGACTTTGATAACTATCGGTACCACGCTGGACCGACTCTGAGCGTCGGAAACATCTACCCTCGGGATTACGCAAGGACGTTCTACGAGGGGATGGAACAAGAGGGGCAAACCAATATCGTGAACCTTCTTCGTTGCGCCTGGGCCGGCAATCAAAAGTATGGCGCCCTCGTTTGGAGCGGCGACATAGCTTCTTCCTGGGCGAGCTTCAGAAACCAGCTGGCGGCTGGCCTCAACATGGGCATTGCAGGCCTGCCATGGTGGACGACGGATATCGGCGGGTTTTATGGGGGCAATCCGGATGACGAGGCTTTCCGCGAGCCTTTCGTGCGCTGGTTTCAATGGGGAACCTTCTGCCCCGTCATGAGACTGCATGGTGATCGAGAGCCGAAGAAGGGGACCGGCGAGGCCTCGCGCAGTGGAGCGCCGAACGAAGTGTGGTCGTATGGCCCGGAAGTGTACGAAATCTGCCGCAAATATTTGCGCATCCGGGAAGACTTGCGCTCTTACACGAGGCAGTTGATGAAGGACGCGCATGAGAAGGGATCACCAGTCATGAGACCCTTGTTCTGGGAATTTCCCGCAGATCCGGAGAGTTGGGAGGTCGAAGATCAGTACATGTATGGCGATAGGTACCTTTGCTGTCCCATTTTGAAGCCTGGCGCCAGAGATAGAGAGTTATATCTTCCCCGGCTTCCAGAGGTCGAGGAATGGGCTCCATTCTCCGCCGCAACTGGTGGCCAGTCTTATGGGGGAGATCAAAGGATTAAGGTGGATTCTCCATTGGATTCGATGCCAGTCTTTGCCCGGCGCAGGGTCTTTGCCGGCGCAGGAAGTTTTGACGGCCATTTCGTGGGTAGATTTTGTGGTTGAATCTTGGTATAGATGTGGTGAAGAAATAGATGGACACTGAATCTTTGTCACCCTTGACTTGGGGTTGATCACAAATCAGACCACATCACCAGGAAAGCAGGAAAGCAGGAAAGCACATCCCCTGACGCCCCTTCCCCAAGCTCTATGCGCAACCCCGCACTGCCTCCACACTACAGGGGTCCAGTGGTGCCTTCCCCAAAGTTCAGGGAACTCGCCCGGCTCTAAGTAGGTACTGAAAGGCGACCTACCCTGCCCCGACATCAAGTCATGGGTCTCCTGCATCATCTCTCAAATCCAGCTCCTCGTCCTCCACCGCCAATTGTTCCTCTTTCGCAAGATATTCAGACATGTTCGGGGTCCGGCCAAATGGACGACCCTTCTCGCCGCGTGTTTCGACGCGCTCCCATCCAATGCGGCATCTGCGAGACCACATTGGAGCGCCAGGAGCATCTTACGAGACACCTGCGAATCCATACCAGCGAGCGGCCCTTTAGCTGCTCTGTTTGTGGCAAGGCGTTCTCCCGACAGTGATTCAATCCCTTCCAGGTCTTGCCTCTTACCAAAGTGGGGATCAACCGCTGACGTTGGACATTTCAGAGACGTCCTGAGCCGCCACGCCGCGACACACGATCTTGATCGTCACAACGAAGTCGGCACAAGTGGAAGGGCCTGTCGAGAATGTGCCGTGAGCCGTGTACGATGCACCAAGGGCAACCCTTGCCGACGTTGCTCAATGAAAAGCCTAAAATGTGACTACCCAACGGTCAAGAAGCGAAAGGCTGCGTCGCTCAATTCCATCGATTGCTCCCGGAATTCAGAGGCTCAGTCCCCGATCGCGATGAGTCCGTCCACCGTGGGCCATGGCCATGCAGACAGTGTAAGTGAGCAGGCCTACAGTAACAACCAGAATCTTCAACCTAGTACCGACGAAGGCGCCACGGTCCCGGATCGCCCTGACTGGCAACGGTTGGCAGATTCAACCAATATTTTGGAGTTCCAGAGCGAATTGGATCGGGGGGCAAGCTACATGAACGACCTGTACGCCTCGTTTCCCGCCACGACAACGGGCCTGTCCACCATAAACTGGTTGTCTCCAGAGGAGCAGAATATTCTTGATTGGTCAAATCAACTAGCCGGGATGTCTTATGGGAGCATTGAAACCGACGTCATGGGCTCCCAGTTCTTCTTCACCACTCTGCCGCAGCCCGAGGCTCCTAGCGACGCTACCTATCATCATCCTACGGTTTCTGGTGGCATCTCGAGAAATACAAGGCCTGCGATTACCGACCCATCTGCAGAAAGCGTGCCAGGGTCAAGTCCTGAGACCGAGGCCATCAACCGTTCAGTGGCCGAGTCAAGTTCCGCGACAGGTTCCCATCCGCGGTTACGTGCAGCTAAACCATTTTGTACATTAATACTTCAGAAGGTTCCACCCGACACTGCCCTTCGTTCGCCGAAGTACTTGTTTCTGCGAGGAGCCAGGCCACTGGCTTCTACTCCTGGCAGTAGCATCGGTGGGTGCAAGGTACCAACTCGGTTCGAATGGTCCGCGGTCGCGGGATCTATTAGCCGATTTACTGCGTGCTTCTCTTACTCGCCGTTTCCATCGATTTGGTGAGGACGAAGGCGAAGACACCTGGGTACCTGGTGTTGCAGGCGCCGGCAACTGGTGCCTTGATCTGCTCACCCTACAAGCTGCTATTCTTAACTCCATCAATATGTTGCACAGCGGTCAAAACTCTATCACGAGACGTGCACTTGCCGAAAAGCCGATCTTAATCGTTGCCTGTCTTGATATGGACTTGCTTGGAAACATACACCCAGATACAACCACCCTGAGGCAATCGGGTCGGCTGCAATCGATACAGGGATGGACACACGCTCAGTCTCGCGGGAGAACAGGCCTGATGGTCTGGGTATGTTTCTCATCCGGAGGGAGACAAGCATGCAAAGGCTCACACATCATCCAGTTACTCGATTCCATCGCTGCCTTCCAATTCGGTGACAAACCTGGGCTCAAACTAGGTGACGTGCGGTCATCACGACCGTGCAGAGAAGAAGTTTGGGACTGCTCAACTACAGAGCAGATTGCTGAGGAAGCCTCCCACTCAGGCAAGTCTAGCGGAATGGTTGGAGACTGTTCACCAACTGACAGCTCGGCTAGTCACACATCTCCGAGCAATTGAGTTTCTCTACCTCGAAAAGAGGTTGCCGCCAAAGCTGAGCCAGTTCAGCATCCAGATTATGGTTTACGCCATATGTCGAAGGACGAAAGAAGCCATCGAGCAGCACACATTCCCTCTTTCATCCTGGATACCGAGCGCCAGTATCAATAAACGCCCACATTCGGAACATTTGGAGGAGACGTGGCCACCCTCTCTCCCAATCCTCTCCAAGTGGCGAAATAGTGCTTGCGATTGTATGGACATTCTGCATTGGGATGCCAACAGCATGGCTGCGAGAGCCGGAGGCTGGGAGCACCCTATCATTCTGCATCTTCATCTCTCGCGGCTCTTAATCTTGGCACCAGTCGAACATGCACAGGTTCTCACAACGACATTAGCATACAGGGCCCAAAGTAGGCCCTCAGACGGTGCTAAATACGCCCAAGCACGAAACCACTTGGTCCAGTGGGCCATTTGTGATCAACATAAAGCAAGGCTTAGTATCATTCATGCTGGATAGTTGTTGTGGCACATCCGTTGTTACAGCTCTGGCAACTTCCTCCAGCCATTCTCGATCTATTTAGCGACCATCGTAATTTGGGCTTACAGTGTGTCCGTACAGTCGGTTCGGCAGCAGACAGATCTTGAGACACAAAACCCAGACTCTCGGCCAGTCTTCGCAACGACCTCGCTCGCCCCAGCTTCGTCCGTTGCAGGACCTGAATTAGTGTCAGACGAGGACACGGAGGAAAGTCCTGAGACGTCCTTCATTCACCTTGATCGGCCATGCGATGACGAAATGGTTCAGACATACGTTCGACTAGGAGACAGAATGTCTGCTTACACGTCGAGAGTCGGCAACATTCTTGACCCGGGAGCGCCTAGGAAGATAGTGCACCAGGGCCACAGACTCCTGACATCGCAGCGAGAGGGTTCTCGTGGAGCCATCTTTGACAAGGTGAGGACAGACTCGCCGAAACAAGACCACGACGGTCAGGCTTCCGCTTGGGGGATCGAGCGGTGTTATGCAGAACTATTGGAGCGCCTAGCCGCGGCAACAGTAGGCAAGGATCGCCATCCACTGTGAACAGGAGTTCACTACCAGAGGGTCCAATCCTGAGATGCCTACATCAGGGAGCATGAGACCTGCGGTGCCCCTCTCCCCACCGGAGAGAAGACCCCTTGTTAAAGCTGCTCCGGCGGGGTAGTCGAACGTCCTGTCAGAGGGCCTCTGCCATGTGAACTCAGGTGGGAGAGTATCCAGCGCGATGGGTCGATATGACACGCGCTGCCACATGATTTTCCCCACTTCCCCAGACTTTGATTGTTCGGAAGACTGAGTCGTACCGACAGCCTGACCGAATGTGACGATGGCGAGCCATCTTGCGGTGCGGCCCCATCCCGCTGCTACTTATACGAGCAGTCCTCTGCCGATTGCCCAGGAAGTACATTTTCATCATGTTAAGATTTTCCACCTTTTTCGTGCACTGAAGAGCTTTGGAAAATTAGCCCACTCGATATTCGACAGCTAAGCATTACAACTGAAAAACGCTCCCTGACTATACGAAGCCTCTGGTGGCCACCTCAACTCGGCATACTCCCAACGCAATTTCGATATGGGGAGTTCTATCCACGAGGAGAAGGCGGCTCAAGCTGTTGAACTGGATCATGCCCCCGACAAAGACATTTCAATGGCCCAGCAATCCGCCGAAGATGAACACAACCTCACCCTCCGCGAAGCCATCCGTCGCTACCCTCAGGCCGTCTTGTGGTCGGTCTTACTGTCTGCCTCCATCATCATGGAAGGATACGACATTGTCCTCATCAGTTCGTTCTTCACGTCGCCTGCCTTTCGTCGCCATTATGGCGAATACGTTCCTCGGACAGGTACATACGAGATCACTGCCTCTTGGCAGAACGGACTCAGCAATGCCGTGAGTGTCGGGACCATCATTGGCGCATTCGCCAACGGCTACTTTACCCACAAGTTCGGATATCGCAGAGTCCTCCTGGCATCTTTGGTGTTCATTTGTGGCTTTATCGCGATTTCTTTCTTGTCGCCCAACCTACCCGTCCTCATTGTTGGACAGTTTCTCTGTGGCATCCCCTGGGGCGTCTTCGCGACCATGGCACCAGCTTACGCCTCTGAAGTCTGCCCCATGGCGCTTCGCGGTTACTTGACCGTCTATGTCAACCTTTGCTGGGCTCTCGGTCAGCTCATCTCTGCTGGAGTGCAAGCCGGATTTTCTGGCAGCACCTCCCAGTGGGCATACCGCATTCCATTCGCAATCCAATGGGCGTGGCCTCTACCTTTGTTCACCATCCTATGGTTTGCGCCAGAGTCCCCTTGGTACTTTATTCGCGTGGGCAAGGACGACGAAGCTGAGAAGTCCGTCATGCGACTGGGCTCAGCCCTGCAGCGCAGTTACGCCAAAGAGACTGTGGCGTCGATGATCTACACCAACCAGCTCGAGATGAACATTGACGAAGGAACATCTTACCTAGACTGCTTTCGCGGCGTCGACCGCCGCCGTACCGAATCGCCTGCATGGTCTTCATGGCACAGCCTTTCTGTGGCTCCGTCCTTGGAGGCACGCCTACATACTTTTTCGTCCAGGCTGGTCTTCCCGAGTCCATCTCGTTCCGCATGTCAGTCGGCGGTCTCGGTATCGCATCTGTGGGCACAGTGGCATCTTGGCTCCTTCTCGGCGCCTTTGGCCGTCGCACCCTGTATCTCTGGGGTCTTGCGCTGTTGACATCCGTTCTCATGACCGTCGGCTTCATCAGCGTTGGCGCTGGGGACTCTTCGGGCGGCAACTACGCCCAAGTGGCCATGATGCTATTGTGGCTCGGCATCTACTACATGACCGTGGGGCCCATCTGCTATGCCATCATCTCCGAAGTGTCGTCGACCCGTCTGCGCAATAAGAGCGTGTGCCTGAGCCGCATCGCGTACTACATTGGGCAGATCGTCTGCAACGTGATTAATCCATACATGCTGAACCCAACGGCCGGCGATTGGAAGGGGAAGACGGCGTTCTTCTTGGGCGGGTGTGCTTTTGCCTTCTTCGTATGGACCTTCTTCCGACTACCAGAGACGAAGGACAAGACGTTTGCGGAATTGGATATCCTCTTTGAGAAGAAGATTGGGGCGCGGGAGTTTTCCGGGTACAAGGTGGATGCGTATGCTCAAGGAGGAGAGTCTTTGGTGAAGAAGGGATGATCGGCGACCTGCAGTGTCTGGATAGGATAATCTAGGCGTATACCGTGATCCCTTGCGTCCTTGCGATCAACTGTCTACTCAATAATTGATACAACCTATCATCGAACTCCAGTTTCCTCCATTTTGAGTGTGGGATTGGCGGTGCTCAAGCAGGGTGGCTCTTTGCGGGATTTAGTAGCTTTGCCAGAGGACTTGAGCATCACATGGCGAATCAATTATTTACTGACAAAAGCGCAAACCCTCTATCCGCAGATGTAACTTGTCCAATGGTCAGATTCTATCACCCCCTCCCGGAACTCATCGCCCCGGCGCACAGCCTCGTACCTGACATGGCCCTTAAGACACACATGCGAGCAAGTCACTTTCCTGATTCTCACTCACTCTTCCCGGCTTGAGTCTAGCGCTCCACCGGAGACGAGCATGTTGACGAAGGATCCCACCGGCTGGAGGTAGATGTAGCTACCCCGCATGATCCACGACCGGCGTGCCCATGATTCTTGTTGCCGCAGTGGGGCAAGCTATTATTCTGGATAATGTCCTTGGCTTCTGGGGCAAAGTCCGGGGTCAAGAACAACAGGAGAAGATGCGGAGCTCTCGCGATACTAGGCTGTCGATCTTGGGAAAGCTCGCCGTGTCACGTCGTATCGCGTGCCATGATGACGAGCGGCTGCCAAATGAGCTCCCTCCGAAGGGGAAGAAAGAAGAAAATGATATAAGAATACGGCTTGACGTGTTCTGCCACGATGTTTGCATGATCCAGCAGCTCAAGCTTCCAGTTCGACAAAGAATTAATGGCTCAGATCAGATCTCTCGCCCTTTTGGCCCTCTCGGCCTCATCGCATGGTGTTTTCAGGGCTTCTCTGGCACCGGAAAAGCGCCAGGGGCAGGTCTTTGGGACCGCTACCGTCAACCTCGCCGAGCCGTCCGGGACTCCAGCCCATCTGGCGTCTGGTTTTATTTATGGTCTGCCTGATAACACGGATGGCACAGCAAACACGGATATTCCTGACCGGTTCATCGATGGCATGGGCTTCAATTACTGCCGTGCTGGCGGTGCTCAGCTGCCTGATGGTTCCCTAGGGTGGGCAGCCGGGCAATACGAGGTTCGTGGCCCCTCTGGCATGGCAACACATCCTAGAATCTTCAAAGCTGACGTGCTTGAGGACAGCCGCGATGGCTCTCGACCCTTTCAAAGTACCGCACGACTCGTCGCCACGGCGGCCGGTTCTCCCTGCTGATGCACGATCTCTGGGGCGCGGACAGTCTCCAGGGTGGCTCGTTCTCCTGGCCGGGCGACAACGGCAACTGGACCAGCTACGACGCCTTCCTCGACCGCGTCTTCAGTGACCTCAGAGCCAACGAAGCGCTGGAGGGTCTCGACATTGACATCTGGAACGAGCCGGACCTGCAGTCCTTCTGGGGCTCAACGCAGGACCAGTACCTCGCCACCTGGGCGCGCACCTATGCCCGGATCAGAAAGGACCTCCCCGAGGTGCTCATCACGGGCCCGTCGACCAGCGAGCCCGCCACCGCGGGAAGCGCCACGTGGCAAAAGTTTGCCGCCTTCATCGCCGCCAACGATGCCGTGCCAGACATGTACTCGTGGCATCTCCTCCGCACGAACCGCAACCTGCGCGAGTCGACCGACGAGGCCTTTGAGGTCTACGGTACCCATGCGGGGACTGTCGGTTCCGTCAAGGTCCTGGCGGCTGTGAGGCCTGTCGCTGGGCGCAGGACGTACCATGTTACGATAACGGGGCTGTCTTCTGTGGGGTTTGCCGGGCACCGCGTCAAGATTCGGACGAGGAGGTTCGATGGACCTCCAATCCTTAAGGAGATTTAAGGGTCGGTCGACCTCGGCGTTTAGGAATATGATGTTGTTTCTGATTCGGTAAGTAATAACTCGTGACCGACCTATTGGTGAGGATTGATGCTGATAGGGTGCAGGTTACGTTTTGGGTCTTGCCGGAGGCTGTTACGACGGCGTATGCCTTTGAGCTCGTGTAGTAGGGGACCAGGGTGCTGAAACGTCTAGAAATATCGGGGTGCTTTGTGTATAGAGACGAGTCCTTCGCAGTTGGGGCCCCTTGTGAGAAGCGAGCTCCGTCAAAGAAGTGATCAACCTGGGCTGCTTACCAGAACTTCGTCATTGTGATTGATAACGCCAGCTCGAGGGGTCAGCAGTGTTCAGTGGAATAAATCCCAGGATTCAAAGGTGTACCTGGGCAGCCGTACAAGACTCGTCATAACCGATTTAGACCAGGCCCTGGAGCGTCTCAGACATCGGCGGCGTGACGTGAGTCAAGGCATCTAGTAATTCTTAGGCGATGTACGCCCTATTGATTGATTATACGCTTGTTTCATTAACGACAGCTGTCAGTGATGCGAGCAGCTTCAGGGGTAGGTCTCTGATCCCTTAGTTTGGGACCGTTCGAAAGCCAAATGACTCCGATGTTGTGATCAGAGGAAACACCGAACCCACGCTGAAGAAGCCAAAAAGCAGCACTGGCTGAACCTGGTTTCGGAAGATGAGCCTCTAAAATCCCAACTCCGAGTCAAATTCTCCATAAAGGTCTGTCGTGAGCCCTGTCGCTGTTTCAAGATTGTCTGGAGCCGAAACGTGGGACAGTCATTCCAGGTGCTGTTCCATCATCGGAATGCCACATTTTCTTCGACCTCCCTGGTCTGCTTTATATGCTGTATCGATATGACCTCGTATTGCTTCAAGCTTCGGCTTCGCATTGAGCGATACATAATAAGGCCGCGGCTACTCTGCTCCGGATAGCACCTGTAAGATGGACCTGTATACTCCCTTGATTTTCCTTCTCCATTGCCTGGCGCAAACATTTGATCGACGTACTTTTCCGTGAAGTCTCCGACGCAATGCAGCTCACGTACATCGCCACCTCCATAGCCATCCTGGCGATCGGCCAAGCCAGCACCAGTAGGAGTCTTTTACAACTTGTTGTCACCTGAGAGTTTTCGAGCTGACCCTTTTCGTAAAGTTCCCGTCCGCCGGCAAGACACAGCCCCCACATTCGCCAACGTAGGCGACGCCTGCTCGGTTGGCCGCGAGGATGGCGAGTGCGACAAGTTTGGCCGTTGCGTGCAGTTCATCCCGCCGAACGAGCAGAGCGTTCTGAACCAGGGCCGAACCGTCGACACGTGTACCCAAAGTAAGCGCCCAGGCCCATGAGCGTGTTCGTCCGGCCTGCTGACGTGATGACTTTTTCTGCAGTACCCGACGGAGAGGCTGAGGTTGGGTTCGGCAATTCCTTCAATGGCGAAGGGGAGCCGCTTTTCGGCAATGCCGGCGTGGCGTGCACCGTCGGGAACGAAGACGGCGAGTGCGACCAATTCGGTCGGTGTTCGCAGTTTATTCCGCCCAATGAGCAGAGTATTCTGAACCAGGGGCGGCCTGTTGATACCTGCACGGCGGGTGGCCAGGTCGGCACGCTGAAGCATTGAGCTGCGTGTTGCTGTTGGGCCTGACGTGAGTGTTGGGTTGTGTAATGCTTGCAGGCTCAAGTGGGCTTTTTGAGGATCGATCGCTATATCTCGAACATTTGAATCGTTTGGTCATTGTGTCTTTTGCGGTAAGGTGTTTGAATCTCGATTTGCCAAGTTAAACACAAATCGTCAGGCTCGAGGGACCCTTGCTTCAGCAGCGAAGGCTCAGTCAATCAGTATCAAAATACGGGCGAGGCACAAACCAATTCACCAGGCCTATCCCGGCCTGTCTTTTGCCTAAATGGAATCGGGTGTGTCGATGTTGAGGTATGGGACATAGCAAGACGCCATGTGAGGATGAACTTTACAGCACGGGGCCTCATTCTCTATGATCATCAGTCACACTCCTTCATGGCCAATCTTTTGCCAACGACAGGACCCCTGCTACATCACAATGCTCCTACTGCTGCCACTGGTACTTGGTCAAAGTGGCATTTCAGGATGCCTGAGAAATGCATCATGCATTATTAAGAGCCACGGCAGTCGTAGAGATCGCAGATGGCCGTAACTAAAGCTGTCCAATTCCACCTAAAAGACATTTAGGTGTAAGTACACAAATTAAATTCGGCCCCTTTAAAGAGAGATAGAGACCAGGCCTACGGACTAGGCATTCATATAACGGTCGCCGGTTGCACAACAGCACGCAGAATTTACATACTCGAACACCATCGCAGTCTTTCACGCACGAGGAATTCAAAATAACGATCATCACAAGACTTTATAACCAGGTATTATCAGTGCGTTATGGGTCCATCCTGCATCCCCGACAGTCTAGCCTACAGGATTCGGCATTGGCATGGACGTATGATACGCCGCAGGATGCACCTTTGGCGGGTTGTCCAGCTCGCCCTTACTAGCCCTGCGCCATTGCCATACCAAGGACATGATACAAAGTGCAAGAAGTAGACTGCGAAGACGGTCAGTGAGAGAAACAATCACCAAGAGTATCCCGTATTCGAAAACGTACATAGAAACAATCTGTACCACGGTGAGAATGTTTCGAAGAGTCGAATTCGATGACGGGTCAGCATTGCTCACCAGCGCTGCACAAGCAGCGCAACAACCGAGAGCAACGAGGTCGCCAATAATGAGAGAGGCAGTGCGCCGGATACAAAATGGGACCTTGTGGTATTTGACCCAGCCGGAGACTGATGCTGCGACGATGAACCATGCTGTGGACACAATTGTCTGCGTGGGATCCTTGGTCAGCCCTAGACTGTCAAGGTTGTCAACGAAACATACCAAAGCAAGCGGTACTTGGAAAGTATTGCTGTGATCGGAGCGCAGAACGGCTGCAAGCGCAAGCGACGCGGCGCCTAGGACGACAGTGATGACGCGGGACGGGAAATCCCCCGCGTAGAACAGAACAAGGCAATAGACCATGTTTGAGTGATGAAGATGAAGACTTGGGAACTCTTGGGATACATTCAATGTTAAAGGATGTTATTCTCATACACCTCCGCCGCTCCGGGCATGCCACTGTTTTATCAATCCGACCATTGTGATGCAGGGCAAAGGAAACTTGTAGTGAGACAAGCGCTGTTGACCCTCGGGGGCGATGCACCCCCAGGGCTCACGATCGGCACAGCAGGGCTGAGCATTGGGCACACAGCACCCGCGGGCGCTGTTGAGGCCTTCTAAACAAGACTCCTGTCTCGTTCTGGTAGGCTGCCAAGCTCACTCAGGATTCGGAGATACGCGTATGCGTACCGTCTCTACTGGACGGATTCGGCGTGCGCTGTGGCCAAGCGACGAGATCGCCATGAACGACGTCATTCAGGACTGCCGCGGTTCCCCGCCGTCAATTATGACGATGGACTTGACAGCTGATGGAGGCACGAAGCCACTTGGCTGTCTCTTGGCTGGGAGTTCCTTATCCTCTTAGCCACAATTCCTAGAATTGATGTTTAGAATCTGTACCATGAGACACAGGGCCTTTCAATAGGGTTCAGCATCGCCTCATCTACGGGCACTTGACGAGGGAGTGGCTTCTACCGAGACCCTGTCTGATCTAATATGAAGCACATCTCACACATTTCATTCTGATAGATGCACCAAGTCGTGCCTTGGGTTTGTACTGCCATAGCTCACGCGCTCCGACCCTGCGAGAAACCTCTGTTCACGGCTTGTGGTCTCCCCTGTCCACACAGCCAGTGACTACTCTGCTCTTTTGACGACATACCTGCCCATCCAGTCGGGTCGCACGAAAAGGGTCCAGAGCCTGAGCCCACACGCAACAGACATGGGCACTAGGTAAGCCCGCAGTGCCTTTTCCATGCTCACGCCGGTCGCGCTCTGTCCCGCAACGCATAATTGCCACAGAATAATCACGATATATGTGATTTCCAAGGCTGCAAAGGTCGCGCATGCCGTTCGCCTGATCTCAATGGCCCCAGGCTTGTTCGGAAGCCCAAGTACCAGTCCCACGTTCGTGGCCAAGACGAAGGCCCCGAGATACTGCGTGACAGATGCTATCTCGGGAGATGGCCGCTCTTGCGAAATGCCGTTTGGGAAGTCAAATGGCATCAGTGGACCTTGTAGAGCTGAGCGGGGGGTGATGATCATTGTCGTGGCTGTGAAGATGTTGAAAGCAGACTCGGCGGCCAAGGCGATCCGTAGGCCTGTCGCGGGAGTGTTCGGGTCGATCTGAAGGAGATGGTCAGGTCTATTGTCCTTGCTGACGCCCCGTGCACTAGATGGAGAGGCCATTGTCGTGAATCAGGCTGCAGTATGGCTTTGCTTTGTTGAGCGGATTTGTGGTTAGCAATGTACAAGAGGGAAGAGATCCTTTATAACTTCAGAAGTTCGGAGTATGGGTTTCGTATACGAAGAATCTACCACCTATATGCAGCCTGTGACTAGACAAATCGCCCGAAACACCAGGCTGGATCATGTCTACTGATCATGCTTATTCGTTATGGGTGTTTGTTACGGTCAGCCCCAGGGGCTTAGTGGCAGTCCTCACAGCCGCAAGTGCCTTGCGGTAGCTATTCACTGAGCTAAATGAATACACGTCGAATGAACGTTGTTGATTACACTGACTGGATTTCTAGAGGTATAGGCCTAGCCTATTCAACGTCAGCGGGTCTGAGCCGTAACAGTGTTCATCATGCGTGTTAGTCGGACAGCCCAGAGGCTAAGACCCATGATTGAGCTGAGTGAGGACGCATTGGGGGCCTCACACGACGACTCCCTCATTGTAAACCGCACCCACGCCTCAATTAACCCCAAGAATCTCGACTAGCGCTCTCATATTCACGGCAAGATAGAGCAGGTGAAACTTCATTAAAAGGTCGGCAGCTCATCACCATTGGCCCATCATCACATTTCAACACAGTGCCAAAGCCCACCCCTCGACATCCTCACGATGCCAATCTCTAAGGCAGTCACATGCAGCGTCTTTCTGGGCCGAGTTGATAAGCCAATACTGGTAGGAGTAGTGCGTCTAGATAGGTAGGCCGTGAAGACTTGAAAGCCGTGGAGAATCTGTAACGCAGCTCGTCGCCTTGATTGACCCTATCTAGCCACATGACCTGCAAAGCCTCACCCAAGCAGTCCTCGCGCTGTGCCCCAGACAGATCTCAATACATTCAAACACAGACAATATAATACTCTCCCTACCTACATGTCGTGACGATGGGGCAGGAAATGTCCATGCTAGCAAGCCAGCCAGGCAGCTCCCGCTCCCGTTCTCGTGCTTATATAATGCCCACCTCGAAGCCCTCAGAACACCGCACGCAAACCCATTAATATTCAATATTCCGAGCTCCCTAGATCTAACTAGAAAGAAATCAGTAAAAGAATACACATCCGGTTCAAAAACAAGTGCCCACGCAAAGAATCTCCCTCACAAGCTCAAGGCAAGCACCCGCACAAGACAAAGCCAAGAGTGGGGCCGGATTTCCACAGCAGTGATTCACGCAATATGATCTATGCAGCCGTCCCGCTTACAACAATAACTCCCTGTGGTGTAGTTGGCTATCACGTTCGACTGTAATTGTCCCAGATTTCCATCGAAAGGTCACCGGCTCGATTCCGGTCGGGGAGAGCACCACAAGAAGCTCAGCTTCCTCTTTTTTCTTTTTGGTTCTTCCTCATTTCCAATGTTCCATTCTTCCAGATCTTATTCTTTTTTGTTTCATCTCTATTCTCTATCCATCAACCATGCCCTCCTCTGCCTGACGGCCAACCCAGACAATCGCACATGGGCCAATGCCCTACCTAATGCTTGCACTTCTAGCACGCGATTCTCACTCGGACCAGTCAATCGATAGTCTTCCTAACTGCTGGTGATACACGACACAACTCCAGCCGTGTCCTCTACTGCCCCTCGACGGAGCGCACAACGCCAGCCCCCGCGCCGAATAATAAACACAGGCATCCTTCTGAAGCCAGAGCCGGCGCGGAATCCCTAGTGATGGGACTCTTTTTGTCCTCCAGAAAAAAAGTAAAGCGAGAAAAAAAAAAAGGCAAACATGTTCCTCTTCCACGCGCAAGCCGCCCCGTCCAATGTAGCATGCAGGTGCTGCCGTACACAAGTAGTCATACACCACGCCCGCCGGCCGTCTATCCGTCCACCTGTCCATCCGCGATAGCGAGACGCTGCTTCATGCTCTTGGCCTTCTTGCCCGTGGCGCCGCCGCGTCGCTTTTTCGTCCCCTTCGCGTCGGCTTCCGCCGCGACCGGCGTCGCCGTACCCGAGGCCTGTTTGTCATCAAAGTTGCCTTCGCCTGGGGAAAAAAAAAGTTAGAACCATCGTCGTGCCAGTACCGCAGAATGGAAAACTCACCCTCGTGATACATCTCGTCGAGACTGACACCGTCGCCGACCGGCCGCTTCCTCTTGGCGGCGGCCTTTTTCTTCGTCGCGCCCGGCGGCTTGTCAAACTCGCCGGCTTCGAGCATCTCCTTCTCGCGCCGCTCAATCATCTCCGCCTGGTCGTCATCGGCCAGCCACATGGCGATGTCGCGGTTGCGGGTTCTCCGGCGCACGACGGCCCGAGAAATCGACACTGGCACCACCACCCTGGATGACGACGCGCTGCACCTCCTCCTTCTGCAGCGCGCGCTTGCGGATCCGCTCCTCAATCGTGCCACGCGTGATGAGACGATAGACGGTGACCTGCTTGGTCTGACCCAGTCTGTGCGCTCGGTCCATGGCCTGCGAGTCAATGGTGGGGTTCCAATCCGAGTCGTAGAAGATGACCGTGTCTGCGGTCGTCAGGTTGATGCCGAGACCACCAGCACGAGTGGACAGCAGGAAGATGAAGATTTCAGGCCGCGTCTGGAAGTCAGCCACCGTGTCTCGTCTGTCCTCGAGCTTGGTGGAACCGTCCAGTCGACAGTACTTGTAGTTCCGGTACGTGAGGTACTCCTCCATGAGATCAATCATGCGCGTCATCTGGAAGTACAGCAGCACACGGTGACCCTCGTTCTTGAGCTTGAAGAGCAGACCGTCCAGCATGGCCAACTTGCCGCTGTCTGTGACGAAGCGGCGCATCGACGGCACTCCAATGTTCGTGAACTTCTTCTTCTCGTTGTCGGGTGCGGGGAGCATGGCCGGGGGAGGATAATGAGCGAGCGGCACCTGCTGCGTGACCAGCGCCTTCTCCTCGATAGGCGTCGGGCCGGCCAGCATCTTACGGATCGACGGGTTGAACAGGACACCTTCACGCTCAATGTTGGTGCCGCTGCTGATACAGCCAACCTCGATGGGGGGCGCAGACGCGCTCGGGCGCGCAGCCTGCTCCAAGCGGCCGAGCCCAGACTCGTTGTAGTCGCTGCGTGCCACATTCATAAGGTTCGCCAGTATGCCCCCTTGTGTGACTTCGGCCAGCGGCTTGCGGTCGTTTCGTGCCTTGATCTGGAAGAGGGCATGGGCCGGCGTGAAGTTTTCATCTGCTGCATCATCATATGCGATCTGCATGTGACCGAGGCGGTCGCTCTGCTGCGCAAGCTCGACGGCGCGGGTAAACGAGTCTTGGTGAGTGGCCCGATAGACATCGCCAGCACTGACATCCGCGAACCGCAACCACGAAAAGGCTTCGGCATCCTTGGCGCTGTCGCGGACGTTTTCCGGCGTCCAGATATTGAAGAGATGCTGCAGGCTCTTGTTCCGCCAGCCGGCCTTTTGGTTGTCTCTGCCAGCCTTGTTGAGGCGACCGCCCTCTTGCCAGACCAGCCGCGGGAGGTCATATTCAATCATGTTGCGTGTCGAGTACCCAACGTCGACATTGGTGCCCTCGCGGATGAAGGAAGCCGTCTCCGCAAAGTAGCCAAACGCAAACGGCGACGTCGTGTCGGCACGCTCAAACAGGTCGGGGTGGTTGCAAACTTTGCGGAATTGCATGACGAGGTTCATCAGTGTGCCCGAGTCATTGTCGTCGCCTGTTGTTGCCTTCTCGATGAGGTCCATGATGCTGATCTGGTTCCGGAGGTTGGCGTAGATGGCTCGCTGTCGGTAGGTGAGATCGCAGAAGATATCTTTCTCAATCTTGTCACCCAGTTCCTTCTGCACGTGCTTCTTGACGCGACGCAACATGAACGGCTTCAGAATCATGTGCAGACGCTTGAGCTGGTCCTCATTGAGCTTCGTGTTACTCTGCGCGTGCGATTCAATGTCCTTGGAGAACCATTCGCTGAACTCATCGTGCGAGTCGAACAGCGACGGCATGATGAAATGGAGCAGTGCCCACAGTTCCTGCATGTTGTTCTGAATGGGTGTGCCGGTGAGCAAAAGTCGATTGCGGCAGTGGAAGCCGAGAAGGCTCTTCCAACGAGAACTCTGCGAGCTCTTGATGGCCTGCGCCTCGTCGAGAATCATGTACTGCCACTTCATCTTCTGGAAATAGGCGACATCAGAAACAACGAGCTGGTACGAGGTGACGCAGACGTGGAAGGCGGCTTCCTTCTTGTACGTGACGTGCTTGCGGTCCCAGAACTTGCGGAGCACCTTTCGGTCGCCGGCGGAGCCCCAGTACGGCAGAATCTTGAACTCGGGAACGAACTTGCGAATTTCCTGCTCCCAGTTGTGCAGGGTGGAGGCTGGCGCAACAACAAGGAAGGGGCCCCAGATATCGTACTTCTCGGCGAGGTAGGCCATGACCGAGATGGACTGCACAGTCTTGCCGAGACCCATCTCGTCGGCGAGAATGCCGTTGATACCTTGCTCGTAGAGGTTGGCCAACCAGTTGAGGCCCTTGAGCTGGTATTCTTTGAGCTGCGCATTGATGAGTTTGGGCTGGCCGATCTCGACGTCGCCGAGGCCCGTGGGGTTCTGGAAGTTCATCTCGCCCTCCTCGTCCATGTCCATGTCGCCGTCCTTGTCCTGGTTGTTGAACGCCCTCGCCTTGGCCTGCGCCTCAGCAATGGCGTTCTGCGCATTCGCCATGGCGGCCTGCCGCAACGCCGTCTCGTCCTCGGCGTCGAAATCGAGGTTCTCAAAGTTGGTGACCTTGCCACCGACGTTGCTCGACTCGTCAATGTCCATGGCCTCGTTTTGTTGCGTCACCTCCTTGTTCTCGCTGGCGAGTTCAGGATTGTCGGTGCTCCTCTCGACCTCGGCCGTCTTGATCTTCTTGCCGATAAAGTGGGAGTAGAGCTCCGTCTGCGAGATCAAGAAGTTGAGCTTCCTCTTCTGCCGGGCTGCCTCACGGTCGGCTTCCTCCTTGCGAGCATTCTCGAGCTCCTGCCTCTCGGCGGCCTTGCGAAGGTCACGCTCCTCGCGCTCGTTGCGCTTCCAGAAGCCCATCATGTCACGCATGACTCGCTTGGCGCGCGCCTGCTGATCCTTGGTGCCCTTGTTCGTGCGCAGCTGCCAGCGTTTGGCCTCCTTGGAAGCAAGGATGGCCGTTTTCTTGAGGTTGGACGCCTTGACCTGGTAAGACTCGGCAGCCAGCTTAAAGGTCTTGTTGACATCCTTGCGTGCGAGATCGCGCCAGATTTGGTCGTAGATCTGGTTGTAGCCCTTGGTCTGGAACTTGGCGTCCTTGCTCGGTGGCTCCTCGACCTTTTCTTTGGCGGGCTTGGGCTCCTTGGGCTCCTTGACCTCCTCATCAGCTTCGGTGGCATCGACGTCGGCGCCGTCCCCCTTGTCCTTGTCCTTGTCCTTGTCCTTCTTCTCCTTCTTCTCCTTGTCCTTAGACTTGGACTTGTTGAGCTTGATGCGAATCTTCGACTCGTCCTTGGGTGGCAGCTCTTCGCCGGCGTCCGAGCGCGCGCTGGGCAGCCTTCGGCAGAGTCCTTCTCGGCTTGCTTCTGCTCCTTGGACTTCTTCGGCCTCGGACCTCCGCGACCTTTGCCCTTGGTTTTGGTACCGGGCTCCATGTCGGACGCTTGGAACGTGGACATGGTGCCGCCTTCGAGGTTGAGCTCGAGGTTGCGTGCGGGCCCTTTGATGCCCTTCTGAAGAATCAGCTTCGTCTGCTGCGCCTTCTTGTTGGCGCGCTCAGCATCACGAAGGTGGCGGGCCTTCTCGTCGTCAGTCCTCGGCCAGACGGGCCTTCCAGTGCGACTTCTGGCTTCATGGTGACGACCATGGACTTTTCGCGCCGACGTTTGCGCTGCATGTCCTTCTTACGCTCCTTTTCGGCATACAGCTCGCGTTCGCGGACCTCTTGGAGAGCCTCCTCATAGTAGAGCTCATCATAGCGTCGCTTGCTTTGCTCCGTATGCGTGTTGATGCGGCTGACAATTTTCTCACTGCCAATGAGTGCGACGCCTGTCGTTGTGGTGAGCCTCCAAGTTCTGCATAATGCGGCGACGGTTTCTGGCCGCGTGCAGGAAGCTCCGATGCTCGTCATCGAGCTTGTATCGTCGACGTCATCGGTCTCGGAGTCAAGCTAGCAATCTGGGCCTGAACATTCTTCTCCTTGTCGGCCGAGAGCACCTTCTGCTTGGGCTGGCCGTTGGCCTGCCTCTTGACACGGACACGGGGTGTGGGCGTCTCACGAGTAGACGAGGCACGCCGACTCCTCTTAGGCGTCGACTCCGCGTCTCCGATATCGGAAGCACGCGACGGGATTTCCTCGGCACCTTGGCCTTCTTCTCCTTGACAGTCGGTGTCGAATCTCGCGATTTGCCCTTGGCGATGTGAATCTTGGGAGTGGGCTCGTCAAATTCAGGCTCGGCCTCGACCTCGGTATCAATGTCCATCATGGTCCGGTCATTGCGTTCGGGCTCGGTCTCGGTCTCGACCTCGGCCCTGGGTTCGTGGGCGCGTTCGTCAATGACAGCAGCCGGGGGAGGCGATGGCGCTCTAGGCTTAGCGACAGGCTCGGAACTCGACAAGATGTTGGAAAAGGACATGGGGTCAGCACGGCTCGGGGTCTGTTGAGGAACAGAAAAAATAGGTTAGCCTCATGGTTCTGTCGCCAAACAAGGGAGCGTTCACATACGCTTGCCGGAGCTGCCGCCGGCGCCTTCAGAGGCGAGAGGTCGGACTTGGCCATGGGGGGCACGACGTGTGAGGCACCATTCGAGGACGCGTGGTGTGCAGCAGGAGAAGCAGCTCGTCTCGCGTTGGGCGAGGTCATGTGCAGCGGCGGCGGGCGGATGGATGGGCTGATGGAACCGGCCAGGGGCGGTGCAGCGTGCGTGTGCGAGACGGGACTCCGTGGCGAGTAGGTTGTGGGGCCCGGCGAGGCGTGACTGCCGTTTCGATAATAGGCGTGATGCTGCTGCTGATGGTCGGCAGGCGTGGAAGCCTGCGAGTAGGGATACGGGTCACGCGGCTGTTTGATGATTGATGTAATGTCAGCCAGGGAGGTTGCGTTTCGTTCGATGGGCAGGGACGAATATGGCGATGGGAGTCAGGAAAATGGAGGATTGGGGCGATGATTGATGAGGGTCGGGAGGACGTGGATCAAGCTAAGGAAAGGGAGGAAGGATGGGGTTTAATTTTTCTGGGGCGCGCCTCGTGTCATTGAGGTCGTGACGGGAGAAATGGGGGGGGGGGAGTCCAAGCCCAAGCCCAAGCCCAAGCAATCTTGTGTGTCCGCAATCCGCATTTCTTATCTGGATCAGGTTCGGGGGTGGGCAGGTGCGGTGCAAAAGACCAGTGCACGTTTTTCTTTACGTGCCTGCCAGCTGGTGTTCACCCTTTAGGCTTGTCTTGGTTCAATGGGTAGGGGCAGGAGCACAAGCAAGCAAAGTCGGGAGGCGGGAAGAGTGAATGTGAAGACAAAGAAGAGTGCTGCTGTATGAGGTAGATAGGCAAGGGACCAAATGCAAAAAGGGGCACTGCATAGGTTGGATGAATTCATTGCTGAGGAAGAAAGGAGGAACGGCAAAACGCAGGGTCGGACAGAGAGGAACAAGGGGGGGGCGAAGCCTCAAACCTTTGGTGGTGATGCCTGAACTGATGATGCAGAGTACCGCGGCGCGGCTGCATCTGATATCCTCCTCTCTCTTGTGGTATCGGTCAGCGGGTCGTAATAGCTACTCGTAGTCGGCTTGGCATCGCGTAGGGTCGAGGTTTTCTGCGTCTGCGACGACTGAGACTGAGACTGTGACTGTGACTGCGACTCCGAGGGCGGGGGGTAGTAAGCACCGCTGGGCGGGTGCAGAGGCGACAGAGGCGGGCCTTGCAGGTGGGCGCCCGATGAGGGTGACGACGAGGCTCCGCCGAGAGCCGGCAGCGTGGGCGCGAGAGGACCGACAGGGCCCGACGACGAGCTGAACGGGGTCGGATGGGAGAGCACAGGCTGATGGGATCGCGACGAGGACGGCGGCGAGCGATGGTCGTGATGGTGCGATGGCTGCTGGTGATGGGGCGACGAGTAGGCGGACGACGAGTGCGCGTGCGAGTGGGCATGCGGGTGTTGGAAGTCAGACTGGGTCGGAGAGCGCAGGCTGAAGCCGGCGTGTCGCGGTGGCGGTGGTGCCTGGGGCGAGACGAGAGAGCTAATGTCGTGGAGGTGACGTCTGTCGCGATCACCGCGCTCATGTTCACGTTCACGATCACGTTCGCGTTCACGATCACGATCACGGTCGCGTCCGCGTTCGCGGTCCTCCTCGCCGTCGCGGCGCGAAGGCGCTTGTAGCACCGTGGATCGAAAGTCGTTGGGCGGATCCATGGTGATTCAAGTATATGCAGGGGCACCAGGGAGAGTCGAAGCCGTTCGCAGCCGTCGACACAGTGCGATATTAGGAGGGAAAGAGGGGAAAGGGGGGAGTCGAATCGAAGTCGAGCAGAAGACGAGGACTATCGTGGGCCCATATGCTCCGACAGTGGCCCTGGGCCTCGCGTATAAGCTAGAAGGATAGACAATCGGAAAAGATGGCAGAGGATGATGATGGCGAAGATGTCGCGATGGTCGGATGGTTCGGCCGTGGTGGTGACGATCCGATTGGGATGGTAGACTACGCGACCGAGTTGGTGGTGGTGGTTTCTAGTGGTGGAGACCGTGTGCCCAGAATGA